CACAGATCCCAGGGGACATGCCCTCACCTCCCCATGCCTTCCCATGGTGCACACAGCAGTGGGAGCCACCCCACCGTACCACTGGATGAGCCATAGCTTCGTCCTATGCTCTGTCTGGGTTGGGCAGCGCTTGTCCCAGCCCCTGCCCCACTTCCTCCCTCATCACAGGGACCTTGATCTGCTCCACATGCCCCTTCCCTCCCCTCTCCCTTTCCACCATAACAGCTGCATCGGAAATCGGATTGGTATTGGCCAATATGCCTCCTTAAAAATTGGCTATTGGTATCAGCCCCCAAAATCTCTATTGGTGCACCTAAATCTCTATTACTGACATGAGCCCTTGTTAACTGAGCACTATCTAGAGCCAATATGTAAGTGTAGAACAATTCTGGTAGCTTCTACATCAGGTAGTTCTGGTCCCCTTATTAATGTTTATATATCCTCCCTAGCACTTACTTTTTCAGTACTTCTAACTTTGTATGTCTCCCTTCCAGCTTTGTACTTTTTTCTGTTTACAGTAACTAAAAGAAAAGCACTTCCCTGCTATATATGCTGAACAGAGAATTATTTTTGGCAGACAAAATTTTATACTAATTAGGGTACAAAATCACTCAAACTATAAAATATACCAAAGTGTAAGTTAAATTAGGAAACCACTTTCAACAGTAATATGACAGGAAACCAGCTTTATATAAAACAGTAGTACTGTTTCACAACACTGCTCTATTGACACTTTGATATATCCACTTCTTTTTTGTCCAGTAGTAAGTGAAGGCACCATACTCTGGTGGAGGAATGTTTCAAGGTTTGCCTCAGATACCTTCTTATATAATTGCAATGTGAGAGAGCCTCTCCTTCTGTGCAACAGAATTATGTAGAACTCCCACATATACCACACCTGTACGTATGCTCAGTTTCTTTCAGGCATTAATAGGGCAAAAGCATTTTTTTCTTTTGGCCTGAGGTAAGCAAAGTGGGTGTTGTAGTTTGGTTTGTGTGGTTACATGTAGCTCATTCTGCTAATTGTTATTTTGACACAGTATTCAGCCAGGAATTCCTTTCATCTTATTTTAGTTTTCTTCTCTTCCCCAATTAAATGTATTTTTAAAGTGGAAACGCTGTTGTGAGATTCTGTGCGTTTTATTCCCTTTTAAGAACTTCAGATCAAATGAATAAAACTGGGTTATTTCTGTCTTGTGCGACAACAGCCCTGATATATATATTTTATCCTCCACTCAGTTCTATTTGTGTAGTCCTGTTACCTTTCATGTATTAGTGTAAGCATAACTGATAAACACCTCTTTTGGTACAAAAGAAAAATAAAATCTAAACCATTTTCCTTGGCTCTGCTGGTTCTCCAGACCTTTAGAAGGGGTGGAGGCAGGGTAAAAAATTAGCAAAAAATTTAAATTAATCATTTCGTTGAGATGGCCCTGACTGATATGCCTGCAGAGCAGATGTGCTGATGAGGGAAGTGTTTTCCCTTTAGAATAAAACCATACCCCCCAAAATAACCTCATGCCTACAAGTCCTGCAGGCTCCTCTGTCTGGCTTCCTCTGCAATGAGGTAGCTTGGACCTTTTCTTGATCTTCGTGCTGCAGCCAGAGGCCTGCTGTGCAGTGCACAAGGACCGCAAGCCACATCCAGTGGTTGTTGAGATGCTTTTAATTTTATAGCTATGCTAGGCCTTCACCTTGAAACTGGACAGAAACCAGCTGGACGGAGAGCAGCCCAGGACATGCACATCCGCGCCAGGACTGTCTGGACTGCCCCTTGCAAAGCAAACCAAGGAACATCACGTGACTCCGAACGCTCCCAACCACCCTCGCTTGCTCTCCCATTCGTGGACAGCGAGCAGCTCGCAACCCCCAGCATCCATCAGGCACCCGCCAGGGACCACAACTCCCAGCATGCATTGCAACGCACCCGGAGGGCGGGTCCGCTCTTCCCAACATGCACTAAGACTCCCGCGCTGTCCGCTGGGAAGTGCAGTCTCTTGCTGGCCGCTGGGCTGAGCCGGGGACCGGAAGCAGGAAGCGGCGCGGGCGGAAGTGTGTCTCAGCTGGTGGGGGAGGGGTCTCCGCAGGTGAAGCTGGGAGGCGCAGAGCCATCTTAGTGCCCGGGCCGGGGAGGGGAGTCCCCGCTGCCCGCGCGTGAGGAGCGGGAGCTGGGCCGGAGCGGAGTCCGCGCGGGGGAGCTGGGGCCATGGGCGGCTAGAGTACAGGGACAGCCCGGAGCCGCAGGTCCCAGCCCTGGAGAGGTGGCGGTGTTGCCGGCCGCGTCCACAAGCGGCTGAAGCGGCGCCGCGCCCTGGGCCCCCATGGGGCGGGAGCTGCTGCCGCCCTCGCTTCGGTAACCAGCCGCCGCCTCGCTTCCCCCCGGGCTCCGCTTCCCGCCTGCCCCGGGCAGCGCTCCCCGCCGGCCGCCTCGGCCTCAGCCTCCCTTGCTGCTGCCCCGGGCCCGGCTCGGCCCGGCCCCGCAGCGCTTGGGCACCACTTGCCCCGGCACTTGGCCGTCGTGCGAGCGAGGGGCAGGTCCGGGCCCTTCCCCCGGCGGCAGGAGGAAGAGCGGGTGCACAGCGCTGCATCTCCGTCTCTTCTACACTTAAAGCGAGAGCAAAGCACAACCTCAGGGAGCCCCGCCCCGCCCCGCAGGAGCCGGTTTGAGTCCAAGTGAGCCTTCAAGGAAACCGCTCCCCCCGCCCCCAGGTCCCTGGCACGGGGAGACCTCGGACTTGCTCTGTGTGAGTGTTGGGCGCGCACCTGTGCCTCAGCTGGGAGTATTTCTCAAGAGACCTGCCGGAGCCTCGAGCCACTCATGTGGACACATCCACCATTTTTAAACTTTTTAAGGACGGTGCTGTGCTGTCTCTGGGATTTTTAGACGTTTCCCTTTTTGTGTCACTCTTCTGCCTCCCCATTTCACCCAGCCATTGCTCTGGTTTCTCTTCCCCCCCCCTCCCCCCCACTTGTAGTAGGGGGCCTGAACAGAGCTGATATTTTTAAGTACCAGGAGAAGCTGCCCTGGAGCCGTGTCCATCTGCCTGAGTGAACAGGTCCGTCTTTCTTTCCTTGTGGCTGTTGGATGTGATGGAACTCATGTTTGCGGAGTGGGAGGACGGGGAAAGGTTTTCATTTGAAGACTCTGACCGCTTTGAGGAGGACTCTCTTTGTTCCTTCATCTCGGAGGCCGAGAGCCTTTGCCAGAACTGGAGAGGATGGAGGAAGCAGTCAGCTGGACCCAACTCGCCCACTGTCAAAATGAAAGGTGAGATCACTGAGTTGTATTGAGTGTTATGGTATGCTTAGGGATGAAACTTCTGGGATGGCTGCAGAAGGGAGGATGTGACATGCTGTGACCATCAAAAGAACAAGCAAAATTCAGGTGCTTTGTCAGGGTGGTTAAGGACAACTGCTTGAAATTTTGCAGAAGATGTTGTGTATGAAGTTGCTTGATGACGAAAGTTCAGTTTGCTTTTTAATATTCTTCTTGGAGTCTTCAAAAACAGGTTGATATGAGCAAGGTACAGACTTCAATGGGAATAACTGCTCACTGCCTCCCAGTTGTATTTGAATAAATTGTTGCATTTGGCATGGTCTAATTACAACAGTGCTACTAATGAAGAGGCTTGTAAGCTTCCCCTGTGTTTCTATAAACCGCTCTGTTTTCCTTGTTCACTTCTTATTTCACTTGATTCTACTAGTGTTTGTAGCAGTTTCACCTGTAGTTATAGAAGAGGAGGTGGCCTAGAGTCCTGTTGCAAGACGCAGCAGTGTTTCAGCTCCACTCCAAGGTTGATTTTATTTGTGCCTTGCTGACAGTTACCCCTTCTGGGTCAGAGACAGTTTTGGATGTTGATACTATATGTTAGACTATTTTCAAATAATAGTCTGCTAACTTTTAATCTGAACTGACTCTTGTTTGTTTGAACCATGATGTCTTCACACTTCTCAAGTAACTTTACAACAAAACTTGGGTGGTATCAGTCACACTGGGAATAACCAAGTGTAAAGTTAATAAAGCTTGTTCCCTCCAAAGCTCTATCTCTTATTGATACTAACCTGCACAATCCTAGCTTGCTTTTCTGTGACTGCATCTCTCTTCTGACCTATAATACTTCCTGCTTTTTCCAAACCTAGGCTTTTCTTGAACAGCAAATGCTGCTCGCAAGGAGTTGTTGCGATATGGTAGTTTTTTGATGTGTATGGATGTCCAGTTGGCATTAGATTAGGACTAGAAAATGCATTTTATTAGAGCCATGGCCTTCCCAAAGTAGCGTAATATATACATTTTTTTTCTCTGTTTAATGAACTTGAGCCCTGGCACTGGTCCAGGATATTTAACCTCCTTTTGTGTGTTGCTGCTGAATGTCTTGGAGCGACAAACAATACTGGGGAAGAAGGGTATGATGGGGAAGAAAAAGGACTTGGATATTGCTAAATGAAAGTATTAGCTGAAATGCTATTTTGGGGGAGTTACTTCCATGACAGGTTTATTTCAGCGTTGAATACTCCACTTAGTTCTATGTAAAATGTAGCATCATTTTCTGTCAGAGCTGTCTCTTGCTGATCAATATCTTGAGATGTAGGAACAAGGGCTTGCCTCAAAGGAGCATATATACTATGAGGCTCTCTTATTCCAGCATGTCCTACTTCAAACACTGTTACCCACATTAGTACTCCTAAAGCGATTTGTTGTTGCAGGTGTAAAAACGTATCAATGTGGAGACAAATCTCTAGTTTAGCAGAGAGAGGTGTGTGAGACTTCCTGCATAGGACTGTGGGACAGATTAAGATCTGAAAAGGTTGTGATACTCTTCTGAACTTAGCCTGTGAGTTGTCAAAATGAGATGCATTCAGCTGTCCTCAAAATATAATTGTGCTGCTGGACTCTACTGAACTGCTTCCTTGGCTCTTTGGTGAGGCTTGAATGTGTGCCCATGGGCTTTGCCAGATTACTTTGGCATGGTTACTTTTGCTCAGTCAGAAGGAAATGGCTGTATCACTTGAACATCATCCACTTGCTGCAACAAAGTAAGAAATCACAGTCAGTAAACTAAGCATATCTTTGATTCTTGGTCTCCTTTCTACATCAAGCAATGAAATTGTTAACAGTGTTTAAATTATCACCATTATATTAACCAGATGAATGGGACAGGACACACCTTGGAATCATTGTTCCAGGTTCTCTGCAAACCTGTGTGCACAGCTTTAGCTATACTTGGCTCACATTTGTTAGACTTTATTTGCAGCCGTAACTACCAGAAACTTTTATTTTTCTTTCTCTAGAAGAAAGCTGGTCTTTCACAGAACAAGACAGCAATTTGAAAGAGAGATATGTCTGGTTCATGGCTGTTTACTGGCTTTTCCTAAACTGTGGTCAGGGTTAATTTGTAAAGTGCATGCAAAGAGATTTTACTTTATAGGTATAATTCATGAAGTGTGTATTTTGGAAAAATGAAAGGCTTGTGAACATTTAGACAGCAGTATTTCAGAAAATGGCAAAGAGTGCACTAGTTTTCTTTTTCATATGTAGAATCAATAGCATGATATTTAAATGCATTTTGCCTAATGTAGGGATTTTTTTGTAGCTATTGCTGAGTCTACACTATGGCTCAATCCATGTGTACTTGTACTAGTTTTTTTGGGGAGTTTCAGTATAAACTTGCACTGTAGTCAAAACCTTTTGAGAAGTAGCTTTTGGCAATGATGAACATTTTACTTTTAAAAAGACTGATCTTATTTTTGTTACTTTAGTTGATTAAATTATTTCTAACACCCTCACTTTTAGCACACCAGGTCAAATTAATTCTTATATCTAATGTTTGGTAATTGCTTATTTGTAATATTGATCAGTAGTGTTCAGATTTTGTACTTGGAATGAGAAGGAACACCTTATAAGAACAACTGAAGAGTGGAAAATTGTATGAGTTAGCCACATTTTGATGGAAGCACACTATGTAATGATCTTTCCACCTTCCAGCAATGTGTTGGATTCCATCAAACCAAGTCCTTACAAGGGTTTACAATGCCAAGTCCTCTCCTTCCCACATAAATATTAAAGGATATTTGAGTCTGCCCATTAGCCAGCCTCCAACTTCAGTGCTTGAACCCATTTGCACTTCTAGGCTTCCAGATAATTTTTTGTTTCCCAAAAAGCACAATGAGAACTTGGGGGATCGTGTAGCTCTTCCAAACTAGTAAACATTGAATTAAAATGTTCAGTCCCTGTTGAAAGTAGATTCTGAGGTTTTTAGCATAAAAACATTAGGCAGATTCTTTTGTGAAAGATGTTTTAAAGGGGGAGGAGAAAGATTCACAAGCCCACTCTGCTGGATTTTTCAGGAAAAAAGGTTTCTCATATTCAGTCTTTCCACCCCCAGTCTCTCTTGTCTCCACATTTCTCAAGGACAAATGTTTACCAAACACTTCTCAAGCTGCCAAGAATACTGCAGAACTGCTAAGTAGTGTGTTCACAATTTTTTTGCTCAGTTAGTATCTACATGTTCACACCAGCTACTGTTGAATGTGTGGTAAGGGCACAAAACTGCTTAGTGTTAAAACTGTATTTGTAACAGGCAACTTGTGTGAAAAGAACTTTTTTTTTTATTGTCAACTTGGGCGCTAGTAAGTGGCTAAAGCATTCAGTGAGGAATTGTGGCAGCAGGTGGTCACCCAGAAAACATCCTCATTGGCTATAGATAGCTTGTGGCAAGTTGGTAAGTCTCCTTTGAAGGACTATAAATTATAATGTACTGTGTCATTTGTTCTGAAGCCCCTGGGAATTCTTACTGTATTAAATTGTGTGTAATGCTTGGTAAAAGACAAATTTGAAAGAGGCAAAGACAAAACATTTGAAGAATTCTGGAAAGTTTGGCAAAGAGACAGTGAAGAGGAATAAAGTTTATTGCAAAGACGTTATGCAAGACGCATCTAAATTTCTGAAATAGTGACTAATTTTCATTCTTTAAGAAGGACAAAGAATAAATAGGCTTGACAACCAAACCTTGTTCTCCCTCCACTGCCTATAGAATGCACAAGATGTTAAAGATAACTACAGAATAAACTCCTGCGACAGCAACTTGTAGAGCATACTTGTTCAATCCTTTATGTTCTTCTGTCCAGACTTGAGAGATGACATCTGTGGGACCATGTATCCAAGGCAGTATTTGGGTAGCCTGCATCTATCTTTGTGTGTTATGTACCCCAGACTCCCTCACTGTAGTTTGTCATGTTGCAGGTTGAAGACTTAATGCAAGTAATCCAACCTTTATATGTATAGGACATACAAGTGAACAACACACTTGTTCAATTTTTTTGTGGTTAAACATTTTCCAACACTTGAAAAATCTGTTCTTGCCAAAACACAACTGCAAAATGCTATATTATATCACTGCTCCTAAATGTAGCCATGAGATAGCTATGTATATTTAAAAACAAAACAACCCCCCCCCCCCCC